AAAAATCCATCTTCAGACACATATTGTGAACAGTAGGATTAACTTTATAGGTGTTCTGATAATATTTAGCTCTAATGGAATTTACTTTTAAAATGGAGCCTCTGTTGCAGAGTAGAAACAACATTTTATATCAGATCCATGCTGTCTTTTTAAAAAAAATTTATTTTTTAGCAAGAGGGGGAGGGAGGGAGGGAGGGAGGGAGGGACAGATGGAGAGAAAGAAACATCAGTGGGAGCCTCTTGCAAGCGCTCCCTACCAGGGACTGAATCCACAGCCTAGACGTGTGCCCTGACTGGGAATCGAACCGGCGACCTTTTACTTTGCAGGATGATGCCCAACCAACTGAGCCACACCAGTCCAGGCTAGACTTATGCTATCTTAAGGAATCTTTACAGAGCCGAGACTAGATTGCAGCATCGGGAATGAAACCTGACTGGGAACTCCAAATAATGAGTGAAGGATCTTTCCTTCCACTTTATTTTGGAGTTCTCTTCTCAGGATGTTACCAAGGATGATTCAAGTGAAAAATATGCAATGACATAAACCTTTTTGGATGCATTTTTCTCGGCTGTGTTCCTAGTTCTCTTGGAGACAAAAGTAATTAAATTGTTCCCAGTTCTCCAAAATGTTCTAAGAGGAGAAGCTGAGGCAACTGTACAAAAGGTTCAATTGAAAGGGAAAGTGGAAAGAGTCCAGGGAGACAGTAGGGGACTTTCTGGTTGGTGAGCAAGAGCAAAACTTGGGAGCACCCGGCCTGGAATTCTTTGACCCCAGTCTAAACAAAGGAGCACAGTTTCAAGATAAGACCTATTTGTATAAGGATGTGAGTATGTAAGGGATACGACCTATTTGTATAGGAATGTGAGTGTTCAAGGTCTTGAAGCTGGATTCTGCTGTGCAGGTCGCCATGAAATGTGCTCGCTTTCGCATTCTGATGTGTCTCTGTCTGTGGCCTTTGCTCTTGATCATGGGAGTGGACCAGGGATGCCCTGACCTGCACCTGTCAGGCCAGGTGCTTGCGGACAAAAAAAAAAAAAAAAGAAAGAAAGAAAAGGTTCTGTAGGAAGCAACCTCGCAGGGCGATCTGATCTTAACCTCCTCCTGGGCAGGTCATAGTGGGTAATCACACCCCAGCGTATAACTTCTTCGGTAAAAGGCTTATCTTTGCCTTAAGCCAGCCCTGTGCCTTGTTTCTGTGCATCTAGGTTAACATACCTTTGGAAAGGTCCGTTTCAGACCTTGCCTTCTAAAGCGTGACCGCCCTCGGGAGAGCACATCATCTTCACTATCCTGCAATCCAATCGCTGCCTTTATTTCTCCCACCATCCTGTAATCTTCCCTATAGGTCTCTCCTTAACCCGGAGTGTGGAAATGGAGCTGCAAACTGCTATTCTAGAAAGCGTTTTTCTAAGTCTGCTGAGATCTTGCTTCCAGGTGTATCCTCTGTTTGGTTCAAACACATTTTTATACAAATTCTCTGCAGGCGTGTATGTTTTTATGTCAGTTTGCTCCTTGAGTTCGACTTCCACCTTTGGAACCCTCACCACATGTCACCTGCCCTCCATTAAATGCCTTCCTGGGTGCAGAGGAAGGGGATTTTTCTGGAACACACAGCTCAGCCTTTGGTTGCTTGCCTTGGGGATGGTTGTGGCGTTGAGGCATTCATCGCTTGCTTTGGGAAAACTATCTCAGGAGTAACGCGGTGGATCCGTGGCACCTGTTTTCACGGGTCCCCCTTCCTGTGCTCTTGGCTCTGCGGAGTCCGGCTCTGGGGCCCAAGGGGTCCCTTCTGTTCTCAGACAAGCCCTTGGTCCCACCACAGATACAAGATCTTGATTCTTTAAAAAAAATTTTTTTTAATTTATTTATTTTTAGACAGAGGGAAAGAGAGGGAGAAAAACATTAATGTGGGGTTGCCTCTTGTGTGCCCCTTACTGGGGACCTGGCTCACAACCCTGGCATGTGCCGTGACTGGGAGTCGTACCGGTGATCCTTTGGTTCGCAGGCCGGCGCCCAATCCAGTGAGCCACACCAGCCAGGGCACGAGATTCTGATTCTCTTTAACTTGAACTTAAGATCCAGCATCGCTCTCAGGCTGCTCCTCAGGGAAGCCAAGCCTCGAGTGCGGAAGAGCTCCAAGTCATGGGGACTCTCTGAGGAGCTAGCAGGGGAACTGCAGAAGGAATCCCCATACACATGGGGTCCTGGGGATTGGGAGACTCTGGGGTCCAGGTCAGGGCCTCTCTCTGTCCTTGGGTATTTTAGTAGCTGTCAACCCTGGTCATTCTGGCCACTTAGGGAGGCTCACCAGCAGGGATCTGGTACCCGGGGCCCTGCCTTCTGCTGTGCCAAGAGAGGGCCCCGCTCCGGGATGGCGAGGCCTTCCCGCTGTTCCCCTGGGCTGACGGAATTTAATCCTCATTGCGGATAACGCTTTAGTGCACTAGAAGATTACTTAATTTTTTAAAAGCTCCTTTGTGTTCTGCTCTCGTCCATTTGACAAATGGGCTGTTATTATTCTCTGGGTGGTGGGAAGAGGCTGGCCTGGAAGGGAGGTGGCCTGGTCGCTGTTCCTGAACCTGGCCTCATGGGAACAGTGGTAGCATTTTCTTTGGCCACATTGAATCGTCGAGGTAGGACTGGATGGTGGTTTTCATTAGCACCCCCAGCAGAACGGTGCCAAGGGGCCAGGAAACGGTCCCTTGGGGACTAGGTTGTATTTAGAGAGTCGGGAGGTTGTGGGCTGGGAAGAACCTCCAGCAGGGTCTCTCGGAAGAGCCCTTCGGACCCCTGGTTGTCTCGCTTTCTTCGGTGATGGCACTTATCTTCTTGATGTGACTTATCTTTGTGATGTGATGGTGATTTTGATCTTCGGAGTCCTCATTCTAGAAATTCTGATGTCTTGTAAAGTCTCTGTTTGGGTGTGCGCTTGTGTGTTTATTTGATTTTAATCAAGTGCCCAAGCTGTCTGTGCATCAAGGGACGGAGCGGCTGGGAGGCTCCTTGCAGAGCTGAACCAAAGGAAACCGTTACTTGCTTGCTGAGTCAGGGCACTAATAAAACTGCCAGCTCTCTCTCTTTTTTTTTTTAAGTTTTAATTTTTATTAGCCTCACCCAAGGACATTTTTTCATTGCTTTTAGAAAGAGAGGAAGGGAGAGAGAGATAGTGAGAGAGAGGCATCAATCGTTTGCGTCCCATAAGTGACCGGACCAGGGATTGAACCCACAGCCCAGGCATGTGCCCTGACCTGGAATCGAACCCGCAACCTTTTAGTTACAGAACAACATTCCAGCTGTGTCACACCAGCTGGGGCTAACGGTGTCAGTTTTCTTGGCAAAATTCTAATTAGCTTAGTATAGAAGATCCCAAAGCAATGGCAGAAGTAAACCAGTCAATTCTCTGGTTTTTCACTCTACACAGAAACAAAGACCTGGGATGCTGAGACAAGGCACAGTGACCTTTCTCTGTGTCATGCCATTTGTGTGTAGAACTCATCTGGCATCAAAACACGTTCCTCCAAAAAGGGTTGTTTATAGAGCATGTATTTTTAAAAAATGAATAGACGACATTTCTTATACAAATATTTTCTTGTTCCAACCTCATGTGAACTCTGGAGATGCCATAACATGATGAGGATATGGTAACAATTCCACGTAAATTAGGCTTCCGAGAGCGACTGTACAAAGACGGATGAAAACAAGGGTTGGCGGCTTTCTGCCAGTATTGGGAATGGGTGAAATTTTCTTCTTCTGGGTCCGTGGCAGCCACTGGAAATGGACCCCTTGCTGGGGGGCCGGGGGTGCAGGTCAGTTTTTGTGGGAGGGGGCAGGTGGGCTTGGTGTGGAGAGATGCCAGACGCTGGGAGGAAGGGGCAGGGACCAAAAAAAGGAAAAGGGGGACACTCTCGCCTGAACTTTGGGAAATAGCAGGCCCTGACAAAGGAACTATTTTGATAATCTTTCCACTGGTATTTTTGATTCTGATAAATCCACCAGAGAATTAAAAAATGTTCTCTTTCTTCCCAAGTGACACCCTCCAAGCGAGGGAGTCAGCTGTTCCCTTAGGATGTGGTGGGGGGAGGGAAGTCCATCCTGTCCCGTCTCACCCTCTGCCACCTGATGGCCTGGCTTTGGCCAGACACGCTGGTCATCTCCTAGCCTCCCTACATCCGCCACCGCTGCCCCTGCTGCCCCGTGTGCACAGCGGGCACCTGGCCAGGGAGTCAGCCCATGCTGGGCTTGCTTGACATTCTGCCAGAAGGGTGGCTGACCCCTCATTCGTCCAGGCTGCTTCTGTAGGGGAATTCTGGGGCAGGAACTGGATATTGCTCTGTGTGGTGACAGCTATCACAATTGTCACAATCATGCCTCCAAAATGCTTTGTGATTTATATCAGGAGGATGGCCTGGTTTATTCCTGGTGTAATTACTTGTCTTCCTAAACGAGCTCACTTGATAATTCTATCTTTAAGGCTGTGGAATTTCATTAACTGTTTAATATTTCATATGTTCTTTGAATTATTCCCACATCTTTGAAAACCATGATAGGTTAAAATTGATTTAGTAGAGAAACAATTTCCTGTGTTCTCGATACAGTTTTAAATTTTTTTTTTTAACTCATCGCATCTATAACTTATTTTCTTTTTAAGGCTCATTTTTCAGTGAGAGCTGATGGCTAATAGCTTTCACTTGTAGGAATGTAGAAATGTCTGGGGAATTTAAAATCTGCTGGCGTGGAGAAATAGGACAAAGTCATATTTAAAGAAAAGAGTCTTTACATGTAGCGGGAGCTCAACAGCTAGATTTGGGCAAGAAAGAGTTTAGCTCCTGAGAAATCCATCAGGAAAAAAAGGTTCAAAATGTTTTTTCCAGTTTTCCAAATACTGCCGAATAGAAGAGATGTGCATCTGGATGTGTTTCCAAGTTTGAAACCCCCAAGTCTTGTGCTTGCTGATCTCTGTCTCACAAAGTCCCACGACAGCTATCTCGTTCCTCTCCAGGTGGTGTCTTGTCACGTGGTGGGCAGGACCCTCCAGTTCCTGGTCAGCACGGGGCCAGCCTCGTCCGAGGACCCGGGGCGCCCGCAGTACAGTGTGCAGCTCGCCCCCCTTCATTTGCAGGTGAGGTTGGGGGGGCGTGCGGATCGTGGGGAACGGTTCTTGTCCACCTGGAGGGCACGTCTGTCAGTTGCCATTCATTCCCTAATTTCCCAGCTGTCACCCCCCCTTCCGCATTGTCTCTGTAGGGAACCCAAAGTGTGTGATACGTACAGAACATGTGTGCACACACATGTACTTACATATGTATACACATGTGTATGCACGCATACATGTATACACATGCATACACACGTGTGTGCAATGAATTTAGAGGCTGTTCATCTATCAGAAATGGGAGAGATGGTATTTTTCAAGGCACTTGAACAAGTCAGGGTGCATCCACTGGTGGAATCAGGTGATGGGCAGGCAAGGGGAGGGGAGGGGCTCTGTTTGGAATCAGCTCTGGGCCTCGCACGTCGTCACAGCTTCGGGGATGGACTGGGGCTTCCTGTTTTTAGTGTCTGAGCAAGTCAACTTTAAAAAGACCTCTTATTATTTTTTATAAGTTAAAAAATGAGGATTACCATTATTATTCAGAAAATAGACATTATAATTATAATAGACGCAACTATTATATGCCATTCATAGTCTATGTAATTGAATTATATGGTCAATGATGAATATATAATCAAATACTTAATTATATATATAAATCATATAAAATTACAAATATTCATAATTGTGTATCACAATTATAAAGAGACATATAGAACAATTATAATAGACTTATTAGTGAAACTTCTGGATTGCTGAACTGTCACAGCATCTCTGACATGAAGCAGAAGTTCATAACTACGCTGGGTGAACAGGATTTTCTGCCACCTAAATAGCTTCTTTTCTGAAATCTAGTCCCCCATCCCCCGCAATAACAACCTTTGTTTGAGCTGAAGAGGTTAAGGGCCCCAAGGCCCTGTCAGATATCAACGCCTCCTATTCTGCCCTGTTTTGTGGACAATGTGTCTAGGAAATAACATCCCCTCGTGCGGCACGTTCACAGGACACCTGCCACGTCCCAGGACTGAGTGAGTCCAGCAAGGACCCAAAACACGAGCAGAGCAAATGTAGTTTCTGAAATGGGGAATAAAAAAGTGTGTGTGATACGTGTATTATGTGTCATTATGTGTCATGAGAGCCGCTCAGACACAAGGAACACAATTGTATCTTCGATCTCTTAGCACAGTTTCAAAGCCGCCTATGGGTTAGTCCTTGGGCAGAGGCAGCTGGGGGAGGTTGGTCCATTATTCATGAGCGCTCAGGGGGCGGGCCTCCCGCCACTCCGCTGTTCTCCAGGTGAAAGGGGCACACGGGGGCCAGCCGCCAGGCTTGCTGCCACCCCCGCCCCTGCCAGGTGGGGGTGACGCAGGGACCTGTGTCGATACAATAGTGCGAGTGCACTTGTTCTGGAGTCGTGAGGGACAGCGTCGTTTCTCTTTCCCTCTCTCTAGCCCCAGGAGGGGGTCCTGAGGATTCAGAAATACTGAAGGCATCCTTTCCTCCCTTTGGTTGGGGGCTGGGGAGGAGGTTGGGGGTGGGAAGAGCTGAGATTTTTGTCTCTGGCTGAAGAGTGAAGGCTGGTGTGTTAGTCTGATGGCTGCAAAAACAAATTACTGCAAACTCAGCTTAACACAGCACAAATTACGTTACCGTACTGTGATCTGGTTCCAACAGAGGCTCAAATCCAGGTGTTGGTGGGCTGCTGTCCTTTCTGGAAGCTCCGGGGGAGAGCCTGTTTCCTTGCTCACTTGGGTTGTTGGCAGATCAGCTCCTTGCGGTGGTAGGACGGAGGGCCGGCTGTGAGCCGTAGGCGGTTCCTGGCCCCGAGGGGCAGCCTCATTGCCGGGCTCGGGGGACCCATCCTCCAGCCTCAAGTCCCATCTCTGGTGTGCTCTGCTGCCGTCCTCTTCCATTTTTAAGGGCTCATATGCCCCCCTGGGCTCACCAGGACAACCCAGGGTCACCTGCTCTTCTCAGGGCTCTTCCCCTAATCGCACCCGCAAAATCCCTTTCGCTGTGTGAGGTCACCTATTCATGGGTTCCAAGGACTGGGGCGTGGACATCTTTGGGTGGAGCCACCTTTCTGCCATGACAGATGGGGAGGGTTGAACAGGACACTGTGAGAGGTCAGCGTCCAGTTAGGGGTTGTGTGGTGGCCCAGGCAAGAGAGGACCAGACGCCGGGGCGCTGTGAGCACCGCGCTCGGGCGCGGGGCTGGCTCGGGCAGCCTGCTTCCCGCCTCTCACTCCTTCTCCTTCGCATCTTGGCGATGCTCCCAGGAGAGAAATGCAGAGCACAGAGAATTTCACGTAGCTGCAGAGCTCCGGTGACACTTGCCCTTTAGCCACCAGCCCTGAGATTCCTTGCTGAGTGGTAGACGGGGGCAGAGGACAGTGCTGGTAGTAAAGGGGAAGGTCAAGGAGTGTGGGACCGACCCTCTTCTCTATTGTGAAAGCGCATGATATGGTACAGGGAGGCTACGCAGTTACCTAAGGAAATCAATCAGTGAACACACCTGGACGTACACCCATACACACGCAGGTGCACGTGGAGGCTCTGGTGGAGACACAGCCCTTTGATAACTACTATTTTTTTCCTTTTAAAGCTGGAGCTGCACATGAAAGAGAAGAGAGAGGACATTCAGATCCGGTGGTCATTCATCAGTGTGCCAGAAATGACCATTACGATCCAGCCGAGAGCGCCGGGGGAGGTCAGTCCATAGATTCCCATGATGCCTTCAGTGGTGTCTTGTGAACACGTGGGCGCCGTGATGGGTTTAACGCCCACTCTTGAACTGGGCCTGCACCTGGAATCACCTGGCAGCTACTCAGGACCCTGAAGGCTGCCTGCCACCCGACGCGGGCGGGACTGGGCTGGGAAGTTTTTAAGCGCGCGTGTGCGGCGGAGGTTGCGAACTGCTGAGGTAATGAAGCCGCGGTGTTCCTTGGCGTTCTATCATGTCTGGTCATCAGGTCTGCTCTTCTGCTACCGCTGCAGCTGAGCCCGGCCAACTCCGAGGCGGGTGATGACAATATTTTGGAACTAGGTAGAAGTGACGGTTGTACAGCAGTTTGAATGCACTAAATGCCACTAGCTGTGTCCTGAAAAATGGTTAATTTTACGGTATGCAAATTTCACCTCAATTTAAAAATGGGATGTCGAGTACCAATTAGAGAGAGAGGGGACGGCAGAGTGGTTGTGGGGCACAGACCCGGGAGCCTTAGCCGTCTGGGTCTGGCTCCCTGCTCTGCCACGGATGAGCCACGTGACCCTTCCCATGCTAACCCACTTTTCCGTGCCTCAGTTTCCTCACCTGTAAAGTACAGACAAAGATGCTCAAGGCGGTTGTGAAGATTAAATTAGTGCATGTAAGTGTGTAAAGTCAAGGCTGACAGATCCTAAGAGTGATGTAAATATTAGCTATTTTGATTGTTACTAGTTTAGCGAATAGGTTTTCAATAAATGGTGGGCTTGGCCTGAATTTGCTGTAGCAAGGCCTGGTGTCCTTAGGACACCAAAGACCAGCTGCTTCACTCACGGGAGACAAGCCCACATGTTGGGGGTTCTCAGGTCTGTAGTCCTGAGCAGGGCAGGGACGGGCTGGAGCCCCACGTTGAAGGTGTTTACCCCAGAGGTGACCTGGGACACCAGAGGGCCGTCTTCAGCGGCAGCGCCGGGACCAGGGCGGGCCTGCCAGGCACTGGCAGACGCTCCCGCTGCTGCGGCAGCTCCCCCGAAACTGCGGAGCCGCAGCGCTGACGCCTGCGCAGCCCGCCGAGCATCACCGTTCTGTTCCAACCAGAGCCAGCTTTTAAGAGTTTAAAACAAAAGCTTTAATATTTAAACAGGATTTTAATTGGCGTTTTTAAAAACAGATCCCGCTTGCTTAAACATTGCTACTGAGACATGATATACAGAAAAGTGCCCGCATCGCCTGCCCGTGTCTCGCTCAGAGTCCCCACACCGTGCACCCCTGGGGCCCAGCACCCAGCTCGGCAAACGCCAGCGGGAACGGCTCCCCAGGGGCCTCCTCTGCCCACCCCTTCCACTCCCTGGCCCCGCCCCCCGCCCCAGTGCAGACCACCCTCCTGACTTCTGTGTGAGTTATCCATGCATGCCCCTAATCGCTGTGAACCTGGCAGCCTAAAACAACACACGTTTATTATCTCCTACTTTTTGTCCATCCATCCAGGCAGGGCTTAGAAGGGTCTCACAGGCGGTACTCAAAGTCTCAGCCAAACTGCATCTTTCTGGAGGTCAGGGTCCTCTTCCAGGCTCATGTGGTTGTTGGCAAAACTCATCTCCTTGACACCGTAGGACTGAGGTTCCAGTTCTTTGCTGGCTGTGGGCTGTGGGCTGTTCTCAGCTCCCAAGTCCCTGCCCTGTGGCCTCTTCACTCACGGAAGCTGACTTCCCCAAGGCCAGCAGGAGCAGTCTCTCCTCCAGTTTGCTAAGAGGAAGTCTTATATAACACACATTTTGACACTGTGTCACCTTTGCCGTATCTCAGGCAAGTCTCAGGTCCCGCCTGCACTCAAGGTGAGGGGTCGTCTTAGAATCCTGCCCGCCACAAACAGCACGGACTAGTTTTGCCTGTTTTGGTACATTATGTACGGAGTTCATACAGTGTGGGCATTTCTGTTTGGCACTTTTCAGTGAGCACCACGTCTGTGGGATTCATCCATGTTGCGTGTGTGGTTGTACACTGTTTGTGCTCATTGCCCTGCCACATCCCCAGGTGTGGCTGCCCCACAATTTATGGATCCATTTAGCGCTTCATGGGCACTTAGATAGTTTCCAGTTTGGGGCTGCTATGACTAGTGGCACTGTGAACATTCTAGAATGTGTGAGCACAATTCTGCTGGGTATTAATTATCGTAGCTTTATCTTGACATCTGGCTATATAAGTTGTTCCACTTTGCTGTTCTTCTAAAAGCTGCCTTCATTCTTATCAGGCCTTTCCATTTACTGGAATGCTTTTTAATTTAAAAAAAAATCAAATATCATGCAAGAAAGAGAAACCATGTGTCTGTATGTTTGAGGAAAATGACTGAAAAGGATATACACAGAAATAAGAACATTTCTATGGTGCACATGGTTAATTTTTTTAGGGTGAATTATTCTGAGATAAGTAAAAAGGACCCTCTCTCCCAGATATCTCACGGGTGCTAATCTGACCCCCTGGAGTCCCGGCAACACCAAGTGTGTTCATCTCGGGGACATAGTGAAGAGAGCCAAGTGTTTGCCTGTCCTTTTGCACACAGGCGCGGTCATGAAATGACTTGGTGACTTCCTCTTCTTTCAGCAGGACCAGGCGACTGAGGTGAATGTAATATGTGAAACTCTCAAGGATATTTTGAAGTACCTGGTTAGCTCCGCCTCCCCATCGGTGGTTCTGAGCACCAAACCTGTGGATGTGAGGGAAGTTCAGGTAAACCTGTCCAAGGGATGTGAGCCCCCGGCAGGGATGGCGGCCTGCCTCTATAGAGAGACTGCGTGTGTTCTACGCTCCTCCACCTTGCCGCGGCAGAGCGAGGTTGCACGAGCGCCTGCTGGTCTGTAGCGAGCATGCTCGTGGGAAGCTTTGCCTTCAGGGTGCAGGTTTTCAAATCCTTTGGGATGGGAGGAAGAGGGCCACTCAGCATAGTGGCCCTCTGAGGCCTGGCCCTCTGCCTTTCAGAAGCCTAAACTTGACTTCTTACTCCGCTCAGAGCCTGTGATCTTGGACCTCGTCCTTCCAGGACTGAGGCACCTGGGAAAGCCACGTAGCCATGAGGATGTGCCCTGAAGCAGGCAGAGCAAGGTGCACTGGATAGGCACGCCGTCCAGTCCAGGCTGAGCACAGCCTGCTGACCCGCAGCCCGCTCTGTCTTAAGTACGTGGCCTCGGTCAGCCATGGACCCACCCGTTCGCCCCAGGATCCACCCACAGCACGGTGCTGCGGCGCCCTCTCAGGCTGAGTGCGTCGCTGCTTTGGGGATATAGATGGCTCCCAAGCAGGCAGCGGTTCTGGTTGATGGTGCCCGACCTTCCCGCAAGGAGGGAAGCTGTCACCAAGCAGACCCCGGTGTTCGGGCTCCGGCTGCGCCCCGCCCTCCGCCTCCCCGCGGGTCACTGCTCCTTCTCTCCCTGCAGAACCTTCAGCGCGCTCCACCTGCCTCTCAGGAACCCTGCCCTCCCAAACCTCCAAGGGCTCACGATCTCAAATTACTGGTGAAGAACATCCGAGCCTCGCTGCTTAACCATCCTGGTGCTTCAGGTGGGTGGCGGTCAGCAGGAGCTCTGCGTGATGGCAGGGTGCCTGGCCTGCTGTAGAAGGGACTGTCCCACAGCAGGAGCGGAGAGAGGGGTGACCTGAGGGTTCTTGGTGGCCCCCTTCCTTTGGGTCTGCACTGTGATCCTGCCTTTGAGCAAAGAAGAGCCCGAAAACTATAATAATAATGCAAGTCCATTAAAATACAACCTGGATTTCAGATACCCGAAGGAAGGAAGGAACGCAATGGTAGCTTCGTCCTTTTCCTTGAGTCTGGAAGGCACTATCCTTCTTTTCTTTTCTCTCTTTCTTCTTTTTTTCTTTTTTCACTGTTGAACCTGAAAATGCATGTTAAGCATCCCTGGCCTGCTTGCCTGGAAGGTGAGGTGCCACGTGGGTGGTTTATGGGTGCGGGAGGACTTTGGCCCTGGTGGGTCCCTTTGATGCAGAAAGGCTGCTATCTGAGTGAAGACAAAAGTGACCCCCAGAATAGATGACTTTTCAGGTGGTTCTGGATCACCGCTGAGACCGCAGATGCGTAGCAGCCCAGGACAGGGCACAGCTCTCCCCTTCGATTCAGTTTTGCTGAGAACTGAAGTAACTCCTTTCCCGTTGTCTGCGGATGGTGGGGGTTACTTACCTTTGTCTGCAAGGAACTTCGTCCCGTTCCAAGTGCAGACAGGCCCCGTTTAACAACCAGGACTCTGCAAAGTTAGTTGTGGGGGGCGGTTTTGGTAAAAGCACTTGCATGCTGCTCTCTGAGGCCCTGCATTTAGTGACCAGGAAAGGACTTCCTGGAGTCAGGTGGCCAGGGTTGGGGTCCCTGTCAGAGTCTGAGTCTCCCTTGGAAGGTGACTGTGAAGATTGATTAGTAAGATGCTGTGTGCGGAACACCTAACGCCACCAGGCACATGGTGAACGGTCAATAGATTTCAATTATTGATCACGTGTTGTATTTAGGGCCATGTGCTGAGAGGCAGGCCTTGCCCAGAAGCAGAAACGGCTGCTGGAGGGTGGAGTGCGCATTACCTGGAAAAGCACCCCTGGAGAGGTTTGCAGCGAGCTGAGTCAGGAATAAAGAACACGTCCGTTGTCCGTGGGGCAGTGGGTTCTGTGTGGGTCACCCCAGATACCCGGCCTTTGGCAAGTGGCGAGTCTTGTCCAGAAGTGGGGGCCGCATCTCTGCTGTATCAGGTCGCCCCCAGGAAGGGTACCCCACCATGAGGCTACGCCTGCAGCCAGAACTGAGGGGTCAGCAGGCACTTGAGGTCAGCCTGGGACTCCGCATATCAAATGGGTGTGGAAAATCTTTATCCCCACATGTAGCGCAGTGCTTTGAGAGTTTATCAAAAGCAAATGAAAGAAGAATGGCCCCTCAGAAGTGTGGGTGAGTCAAGACCTTAGGCATTATATTTAGCCTTTCTTTCATATGCAAAAGTGTCTTAAAGCAAATGAAAAACAAAAGTAAAAGGCCATGCGGTGCCCCTCTGCTCGGTTCCAGGCAACGGTAACCTCCGCTGTGTAGCTCAGCTGAACGATCCTGTTCAGAAGTTCTCCAGCGCTCTTCCGAAGAACACTACTGACCTCGCTTGGGAAGAAGAATTCACCTTGTGCGTGCAGTTCAGTTGCCATGGGCCTGGGTTTCCATGGTGACACCTACTCAAGACTGCCAACTCCTGTGATCATTTTGTAGCACCAAAAAAAAGTGGTTTTTTTTTTTTAATTTAAAAAAAATGTATTAAGCATCTGAGGTAGCTTTAAGTCAAACATAGATTTCTTTCTTTTTTTACTTTATTTTTGTTGTTGTCACTATTACAGATATTCCCATTGCTCCCCCCACAACGAAAATTTATAATGCCCAAGAGGCAGCTTTATATGTGCCCAAAAGATATTCACTGACATTTAATATCCATTTCTAATGTTAAAAATCTTAATTAGAACAAGATTTATGGACACATCTTTAAAAAGATTTTTTAAAAAATCACTGAAAGTGATAAATACCAGAGCAGTTCCAATAAAGTCAAGAGAAAGATACTCACTGTTTGTTCTAGAAGCTCTGGTTAATGCAATTAGATAAGATTAAAAAAACGCTATACAAAACACTAGAGGCAAAACTAATCATTGCTTGGAGGTGTTATTGCTAACCCAGACTTCTCAAGAAAAGCAATTAAAACCATTAGAAGTAACAGTGGACATAGGATAGAAATAACAATATAAAAACTAATATAAAAATGGAGGAAAGAAGGGGAAGGTCCATCAAGGAACATGTATAAAGGACCCGTGGACAAAGCCAAAGTGGGGAAGGACTGAGGGAGGGAGGTGGGGGGGGTGGGGCCGGGGAAAGTGGTGACGGGGAAAATGGAGACAACTGTACTTGAACGACAATAAAAAAAAATGCAAAACAATCCCCCCCCAATATTTCACTAAAGTGGCTGATTACACAAATATAAAAATCAATCACTTTATGATGCTTAAACATTAGATAAGTACAAACATAGGAGAAAATATTCCATACATAATATAAAGAGCTTTTAAACAATCATTAATGAAAATATAACACTCTTAGAAAGGCGGGCAAAATTTGTAAACTAAAAATAAAAAAGCAAGAACCATAGATAGATAGATAGAAACTTACGGAAGTATGTTAATCTCAGAAATAGTGAAAGTAATGCAAACATACACCAAAGAGGTGGTTTTGCACCTTCCAGGTGGCTAAAGAATGAGCGTCAAAATGGCCAATGGAAGGGTAATTGGAGTAACCATTTGGGAGATCATCAATGTGTGTAAAATAAAGAAAATCTCTTAAACGCGTGTGCCATTTGGCAACTGTTTTCCTAAGCAAGTAATCACACACTTGCAGGAAGATACACATAGGAGGATGTTTAGCTCAGCTGGTTTATCATGAAAAATTAAAACAACCAACTCCTTATTAAGGGTTGGTTGCTAACTGGCTAAGTGAAATCTCTTAAGGCCAAGCAGTGGGACGCTAGGCACCTATTAATAGTAACCATTTCTGGATAGTGAGGTTGCTGGTAATCTTTATATTTTTGGTTACACGTCATACAGTTTTTAAAATACAGATGATGACTGAAAAAAATACTACTGCAAGAAAATAAGGAAGCATTTTAAGAACTCACAGCTGTTTTTCCTTTGCACAGTGAACTGAATGCCAAGTCGAAGGAGTTGCACCTGCAGATTTCAGAGGATGGGCCGTCCTCAGAAGGTGGGTGGTGAGCAGGGGGAGGTCGACGGAGGCCCTGCTCCCTGGGGGGGCGGTCCCCCAGCGCCCTGACCAGGGCCCTGGGAAGCCCAGGGGGCAGGAGGCCCAGAGGAGGCTCGCCCTCCACCAGACTGGCTGGGTCTTCCCAAGGGAGTGTTTGGTCGAGAGTCCACTTCAGTTATTAACGAAGTTGTACATTTTGGGAAAGAACACCATATTTTGCTTTGTAGAGTACACACCCACATTTTAGTATTATCCATATTTAATGCGCATCCTTATGTTTCCCTCAAAAATTTGGGCAAAAATGTGTGCATTATACACGGCAAAATATGGTATATTCAATGGGTGTTTTTTGTGTGTGTGTGGCTTGTTTGTTTTTTTAACAAATAACCAAAATTTTTTATTTAATAATTCTTGGCTCAGAGAAGCATTTCTCAACCGTTTTAGCCTCAATAGACCTTTTTTTTCCTAAAAAAAAAAAAATTGAATTGTGATGAAATACACGTAACAAAATTTATCCTCTTAGCCATTTATAGTGCAATTCCGTGCCCTTACGCACACTCACAGCTGTGCAGTCCCCACCTCCGTCTGCTCCAGAGGCGTTTCATCTCGCAAAGCTGAAACCCTGTCCCCTCCCATGACACCAACTCCCTGCCCCTCCCCCAGCGCCTGGCACCGCAGTCTACTTTCTGTCTCTTCCAACGGGCTTTTTCTTGTACAAGAAGCCACAGCTGCTCAAGTGGAACACACGCTTGAGTTATAAGAATGCAACAATTAGAGGTCAAAAAGAAAAAAAAAAATCACTCAAGCGAATGGGAACCTGTGTAAGTGAGTGTGCCTGCGTGTAGGTCAGTAATTTTAATATTTATTAGATTTTTAAAAATCCTTATAAACATGTCAAGAAGTGGGGGGCATGTCTCACCTGGCTTAGCCAGAGAGGCACCCAAGCCACCTGCGGATCCTCTAACAGCACAAAGACAGGAAGAAGCCATTCAGGCCTCTGCTCGTTTGCAGGAGTCCCAGGCAGCTCCCTGGGCCTGTGGCCTGGAGATACGAGATAACTGGGCTGCACCGGAGATAAGAGGGGCCATGGTTTGCCTGGAGAGCTAAGAGGGGCCATGGTTTGCCTGGAGAGGGATGACCCCTAGGTTACCCCGGGGGCCCCACTGCTGTTGGCTCTGCAGGCATGTCATTCCGGTCTAGCCGGATGCGCACTGTGAAATTCCAAACTTAAACAAACAAACAAAAAAACAGAACAAAGAACCACCATAGAGCCTTTACTCAGACACGCATTTTACCATTTGCCCCGTTTCCTTTATTATTTGTGCTCGCACTTGGTCACCCCTGCTTGCGCGTGTGGGATCTCTCTCGACACACACATGAGGGCAACTGGGTGGGGCATTTGAAGGTGCCTCTATGCACCATGGCCCTTTTGCCCCTAAATTCTTAAGTGTGGGGTGTCCTCATGCATCCATGGTACAGTTATATCAGCTTCCCGAATAGACACCGATCCAGCTCTTTAATCCAGTGTCCCCCTTTTTGTCCACGGACCCCCTGGTGCTGACCTTCAGCACAGCTGTTGTCCACCCCAGTACGGGTCCAGACTTTGCCCATAATCATCTCCTCTCTTCGCCTCCTTTGTCGTTTTGACCTTGACATTTGTCGAGTGTTTTCAGGTGAACAGGATATGATCAGGAGTCAGTCTGTCGTACTGGCCCCGCCGCCCGTTCTGCTGTTGTGGAAACATCCACCGCACTCACTGCGTGTGTCCAATCTTTTCAGCTCTGCTGGCAACGACGACTGTCCCTTTAGATTTGTTTAAGAAGCAGCCCTCTGGGCCCCAGAGCTTTACCCTGACCAGTGGACCCTCGGTGGGCAGTTCGGTGCTGGGCTCGGTCACCGCAGAGGTATGTGGCCACGTTCCCACGTAAGAGGAGGAACACCTCCATTTGTGTCTGTCAGTCTTGTTTTGGCTTGAATGTGAAACAAGAAGCTCATTTGAGAAGAGCTGTGCATTTCTAGATGTGACCGTGACCCTTGCAGCCCACGGCCTGGTCGGGTTGTCTGCTGTGCAAAATAACTCCCCGAGGCCGTTTCCCACGGGCCTAGCTGAGAAAGGGCTGCTATTTTGTTTGCCCCTCCAGCTTCTGTCCCCACCGCACGTGTTGTGTGGCTGGGTTTGAGCGTGGGTCTCATTGTCCTCTGTCAATTTCGGGGGGGGGGACCCGGATTCATTCTAATAGTAATTGCAGTTCACCCGACGCTGACTGAGGAAGTCAGGGGTGGTCTCCGCACTGACCACCAAAACACAACCCGCCTTCTCCGCAGTTCTGTTACGTGGAACCCACCGAAGCGAAACCCTGGCAGACCCCTCCGCCCGTGCCCGCTGCCAAGATAGAAAAAGACCGCACGGTGATGCCCTGCGGGACTGTTGTCACTACTGTCACGGCCGTGAAAACCAAGCCTCGCTTCGACACGGGGAGGGCGTCACCGCTGAGCTCTGGTGAGAGGACGGAACAGTCTGCCCGTGAAAACTGTCAAGTCCTGCCCCCCTGCAAACACTGGCCCCAGGGAACGCCGGGGACCCCGGGTGTGGGGTCATTGTTGTGACTGTCTTGTGGCACAGGGGCGGGCGGGGTGGTTGGCAAGGTGGTTGTGTGGCTTTTTTTTTTTTTTAAGAAAATTATCTATTTTGTCAAATAAATGACAAGCTGGAGCAAGTGTCCACCCTGCAGTGTATTTTGAAGCTAAAATTGAGATACTGCATGAAACAGCTAGCTCAGTTAAGAACTCTGGGACATTTAAGTGGGGACAGCACACGCTCTTGAAGCACTGGATGGATGTAGTCACTGTGGAGTTTCCTACGCTAAAAATAATGCGTTAGAAGGTTGGTGTGCAGTCATTTCAGACGTGGCTGAATACGGTATCTGTCCTCACACCCACTGCCTTGGTTTACATGCATGACCCCTTACATGTACTGCTTCTGCCTATACAGAAGTATCTTTCCAGAATAGATTGTTTGGGACAGTTCTTTTTCTTTTTTAAAGGTTTTATTTATTTATTTTTAGAGAGGGAGAAGGGAGGGAAAGAGAGGGAAACAGCAATGTGTGGTTGCCTCTCGCACGCCCCGTACTGGGGACCTGGCCCACAACCCAGGTGTGGGCCCTGACTGGGAATCGAACCGGCGACACTTTGGTTCGCAGGCTGGCGCTCAGTCCCCTGAGCCACGCCAGCCAGGGCTGCTTGGCACAGTTCTTCAACACAAAACAGAACATGAAATTCTCCCTTAATTAAAACACTCCTGAAATTTTATTTAAACTTGAGCTTCCTTTTTGGCACCTCCCCCCACCCCCAAAAAGAAAACAATAAGAGAGATTATTAAAAAATCTTGAGGTTCGGCCTGCGCCTTACCCAATGACGTGTGATAGCGCTGAAATGAGGTGTGAACTCACTTCCTGGTTGCTGGATTCAGACCACTTTTGGGGGCCATTGTAACCAGGATTTGTCCCCGGCAGAGTCTCCCTTGCGGACGCCTGTCAAGGTGAGGGTGATCGAGAAGGACATCTCCATCCAAGCCATCCCCTGCCACGGCGCGCCTGTCAGCAAGACCTTGTCGTCTTCAGACACAGGTAACGGGAAAGCGCGCCTGCAGCACTCACCGGATGGGGAGCGAGCCAGCGAGCCAGCGAGCGTTCCCTTTGGGAGCTGGGGGAGTGGTGTGAGTAATAAGTAAAAACCTGGAAGAAGAGGCAAACAGAAATGGATCGTTGGCAGCCTGCTTGTGACTAAGGGGGTGCTGTACTTTATGTAAATTAACATAAAACCCAGCTTCCGCCTCACTTTATGAGATTCCTGAATATTGTTTTCTTCTGTTGCTCGACATACCAGTTACATGAGTAGCCTAAAGGAAGAAGGACTCGGGACAAAATCAAAAAACCACCTTAATTTTTACCTCCACTGTCCCATGAAACCTGTTATATAGGAGTGGTTTTCTCCCAGAATCCCAGATTCCAATTTCCCAAGTTTATGTTCACTTTCAGGTAATAATTGTCTTTAAAGATATGTGTTACTGTCTCTTTAAATCACATCACAATCTAAACGTTGGAACCTGTGATCAGAGAATGGGAAGGCTGGCAGCTTTGTTCCCGCTCCCTGCCTTGCTCACTGAGTCTGTTTCTCGCCTTGCCAAGGTCAAGGGTGAGGCAAGGAGGCGCAGGCAGGGTGGGGAGAGTTCTCATTTGACAGGTGCTGTCTTAGGATGGTTCTGCAGCCCCCTGGCCTGGTGGACGTGGAAAACGGTCTCTGCCCCGTGGGAGTGTTCGTGACCCTTGGGATAGAGCCCCAGTGGGTCCCCCCGGCCGCAGCCTCCTGGACCCAGGCAGGGCTGCCGCTTTGGCTGGCTGCCCTCCCCCGCAGGCTGTCTCTCAGCCTCTGCCCATGGCAGCACACCCCACCCCCCGACCCTGCGGGGTTCCTCCCCCTGGGCAGGATCTGGGGCTGGCGCTCCCGCCCCCAGGATCCGCCCGCGCTGTGAATCCAGGGCCACAGCAGCTTTCTCAGGCCCACCTGCCACCTTGGCAGGGCCTTTGAGGACAGCGTGGGACTTGGCGTGTGGAGGTGGCACTCCCACACCTGCCCCTTGGAGTCACTGGGGCTTGCGGCACCGTCTCTCCTGAAGCGTCCTCCTTACGCCCCTCCTCGCGACCCTCTCTTCTCACTGAGGGTCACGGCCTCGCAGTTCTGGGCTGCGTTCATTCTGTCACCGCACCCTTTGAAATGGCAGCATCTGTCATCTGCAGGCCTGGAATATTTGGTCATTTTAATGTTACTCGAGCAGCTGTGTGTGAGTTCTCGGCGTCAGCTCTGAGCCCGCGACACGCGGCTGGGCATCTCCGCTCTGCCGCTGGCCTGGCTGCCTGACGTGACCCCATTTCTCAAGTGAGGATTTAGAAAGCACCTATTTCAGGGTTTGGGGGGGCAGTGGAATAAGATAATGTGCAAAGCCCGCGGCACGGCGCCTGGTACATGTGGAGCGTCCCCAGATGTTGGCTGTGGGTGGCAGTCACCGTGGGAGGAAGGAACCACTTGCCTGCGCTGGCCCTCTGTGGCCTGGACACTAGTGTGTGGTTCACCAGTCTTGCCAGGGAGGAGGAGGGACCGTACTGCCCTTCACAGACCAAAAGGTTAGCGGTCCTCCGTTGGTTTACCGGCGGTCGTTGTTGTCTCCCACATCAAGGAATAACCCACACACACCCAGGGGATCGGCTGTGCACGGAGGGTCCGCAACAGTTTCAGTTTTGGCTAAGGTGTCACGCTGCCCTCCCCCCACAGAACTGTTGGTGCTGAACGGCTCGGACCCGGTGGCCGAAGTGGCCATCCGACAGCTGCGCGAGTCCTCGAAGCTGAAGCTGAATTCGCCGCGGAAGAAGAGCACCATCATCATATCAGGGATCTCCAAGGTGCGTCTCTCCGCGCGGTGCCGGCGTCTGTCCACGCCCGCGGGCCCTCCCCGGGCGGGCGTCGGCCCCGGCTCTCCACCAACACCCAGAAAATTCTGTTTACAAAAGCCGGGCTACGCCCCTCGCTCAGCAAGGGGGCGATTCTTGGTATTTCATCCACGCATCTTATCCTGTTTACGAAGGAAATGTGACTGTTTCTGACCGAGGTTGTCTTTGGGTGTCGCGGGGCGGGTGAATCATTTGAAGAAACGTTATTGAAAAAGAAAGGCGGGCATGATGTAAGACTCCCCTTGGGGTCAGAACCCGCACCCTTATCGCGGCTCGATTGTGGGAGACTTTCGCTTTCCACATGACACATTTCCAAACCATTTTACCTTTTTTTGCAATGAATGCTTTATGCTTTTCGCAATCAGAGAGAAACTAGCTTGTTTTTGCACATATCCTGATCCCCTTCCTTCTCCTGCTCTGTGATGTTAGTCCAGAGCATGTGGTGGGGGGCGGGGGGGAGGCCATCCCCGTGGGGGCCAGGCCGGCGGGGCTGCCGGAGAGGCCCGCCCCTCAGGCTGAGCGGCCCTGTGATAGTCCCTTACTCTTTCTTAACATTCCAGAGTGAACAAGGAGAATGTGAACAGTGGTGGGAGGGAGAGTTGTTGAACCCTGAGGGCCAGTTGATTCTTTGAGGGCAGCTAGAGGGTGGGACGGGAGTGTGTGTGCGTGCTGAAAATCGACCTCTCAGCTACCAGGAGAAAGGCCAGAATGGGTCACGGGCAGTGCCAGAGGCGAGTCATCAGTGTTGCCATTAAACTCGGACATGGGTGGCCAGTGCTCAGGTCCCATCCTGCTCAGACAGCATCACGCAAGAGCCAGGTCATGCCTCTCTGGGTTTCCTGCATGCACTTCCAGCAACAGCCAGCAGGCGGTGATGGCGTCCCTGGAAGCTCCCAGACCCAAGAGCTGTGTGGTGGTGTTTTTGTTGTGAACGCAGGTGAATAAAATAAGGATGAGACTTGTGACCATTTCCTTTAAGGTTTTGTTTCAGAATCATTAGGAACTCATGGATCTTAACATTTCATGTTGTTATTATTTCTCCTGATGCACAAATTGTCCAACCTTGAGTCAGTGGGCTCTTTCACTTGAACCAGAAAAGTGCAGCTGTCTATTGTCCCTAAGCAGACGCCCCTGTGCAGCTTCTCCCTGATCAAGAACCACAGGCCAGCCCCCACGGACGCCCCTCCCCCCAGTGTCCCCCCCACAGTCACTTACCACCCTCCAATGAGCCCCTTTCCTGACTCCCAGCCCCACTAGTTAGTTCAGCACCTATGCAGGTTTTGCACACAAGTATAATTCTTAGGGTACAAGGTATGTACTGATTAGTTTCCACATTCAGAAAAAATAAAAATGCTGTAGAAAAGAAGATGCGAAGGTGAACTGAACCCGAGGCTCCGAGGAGGTCACTCCCTGGGTTGCCCTGCGTGCTCTCCGGGGCTTAGAAGGACGAGCCCACTTTTCCCTCTCGCCTCTGGGGCTGCCCTCGGGTCTCCTTGCTGGCCTGTCTGCTGGAGGAATGATGTCAGGCACCTCCTCGGGACCGCCTCCCACACTGCAAACTCAGGCCACGCCCCTCTGCTCCAGGGAACACCTGCGAGGGCAGCGTTTCAGGACCCCCTCCCTCGCCCCTCCCCCCCTCCGTCATGCAGCTGCCACGTTAAATGACCTTTCTTCTGGGGGGCCGGGGCCTCTCTGACACTCTGAAATCGGTCCGGATGTTTGGATGGGGCTTCCTTTTCCACGTGTCTCTGTCGTCTCCCCTCACGCTATTTCTCTCTCCCTGGACAGACCTCTCTATCTCAGGACAATGACGCCGCCATGATGCTGGACTATGCGGCCTCCATGGACAGCACCCACGAGGGGAACACCTCATCCCAGCCGGAATTGGCGTCGGCCTCTGCCCCGCCCGAGGAGGAGGCCTCTGCCCTGGCCCCGCCGGCCCTGGAGCCCCAGAGTCGTGAGCTGGCCTCCTGGGACTTGGAGAAGGAGTCACAGTCCGAGGCATGGGACAACCAAGCTGCACTGGACCCCGAAGGGGACGAGCTGTCGGAGAGCTCCCTGAGCGCCTGGGAGCCAGGTGCTCCCAAAAAGCATAAAGGTACCTGACCCCTGCACCCCCAACTCCTAGCCGATGACTTTGCTCTTAGGGTAGTTCCCACGTTCATTCTGCTTGTCTGCTTCCTTTCCCTTCTCTACGATCCATCCCGCCGCAGCGCCCCCACCGGCACCCACGCCTGCGCTGAAGGTCTGAGCCCTCTGTGGGCAGTTTGTGTTCATGCCAGAGGCTCCCCTCCTCTGTCTGCCCCCAACCCAGGGTGGAACTGTCTAGAACAAAGCCAGGCAGAGACTGGGCTCCCGCAGTGCGGAGACCAGCACCCCTGCTTATTTGTGCCTCTCGGACCCTCCCCCACCAAGTTAAAACCAAACCACACCTCACCGCTGGACCCTAAACCACCCCACGGGGAGACGGTTACCTGATTAGCTTAGGATGTCTGTCGTGATGAGGCACCCATTGCATTAGGCTGATCCCTGGTTTTCCATCAGCTCTAAGTCAGCGCTTTAAATTGGTGGATTTTCTCACTTGCTGAGGGCATGGCATGCAGGGCCGGGGGTCGGTTCCAGATGTGAGGCTTCAGGGCTCACGGAGGCGCGGCCTCCCCCTCCGTACACAGGGATGTAGGGTGTGCCCACCGTGGGTGCCCTCCCCCACCAAGCCCCACCTGCCAGGCAGGGAGGGGACCCCAGTGAGGGAGACAGCGTTGGGGACCTGAGCCACGCTGGAAGTGATGGTGTGACTCGCTCCCCAAGCCTGTAGATGTCAGGAAATCCCAGGCAGGACCCTGGTCAGCTGTCCTGCCTCGGCCGCTCCGCTCCTTTGTTCTTGGTGCCCTGGACCTGTGGTTCTCAGACAGGGCGACTGAGCCCAGGGGACATTAGTAGTGTCTGGAGACAGTTCCCATTGTCATAACTGAGAGTGGGGGTGCTGCTCTGCACCCCGCAGTGCACAGGACGCCCCCAGCAGCATCCCGTGGTCCCATGTCCGCGAGGCTGAGCTTGGGAACCTGCATCCCTCCTTGCCCACTCTGTCCCGTTCACTTCATGTTTCTCCCCCGGGACCCACCACCTGGCCGGAGCAGAGCAGGGACAGATGGGCAAGGGGTCGAAAGTCAGAAGAAGAAAGAGAGAAGGACGATTCCTGGGCGTGGTGTCTAGACCATGTGACAACGATGGACCGCGGGCCTCCATCCGCCCGCTCCTGCGCTGCTGCTTGTTGTCCCAGGGACCAAATCTGATGACCTGGAGCAGCTTGGGAAGCTGCGACCTGCGCAGTGACCTCCGGGTGCAGGTTGTGGAAGAGGTGGCCTGGCTGCCAGCCCACAGGGCAGCACAGCCCCCTCTGGCCTGGTCTTAGTCCGGGGCCAGGGCAGCCCCAGGGAGCTCAGCTGGACCCAGGGCAGGCAGGCGGGCCGGCACGGCAGAAAGCAAGGAGGCGCAGGGTGCGGCACCCCTCCCTCCCTCCCTTCGTTTCCACGTCTCCTCACGGAACCCAAACCTCCCACCCCGCCTTCCTGGTTCATTTGGAAAGGCCAAGCCTGGCTGGCCCCCTGTGCATTCAGGACCCCTGTTCGTTCAACCTCCTTCCCCGTTGCCCTTCCTTCCCGAGAGCCCTTCCCTTGGGTTTCCGCCCTTGCTGTGCCGTGGCCATTCTTCTCCTTTCCCGTCACCAGCCAGGTGGGTGACACCCCCCACCGAAAGGCACTTTTGGGGACTGAGGTGCTGGGCAGGTGTGGTGGGGGCCGCTTCCAGCCCTTGCTCCGAGTGCCCTCCGAGGATCGGCATTGGGGGCCACTGCGAGGGCGCCAGGCCAGAGGCGCTGCAGACCCGAGGCTTGAATCGGGGCAGATCTAGCCGTGGTTTAAAATGGCTTCTGCATTCCAGTGTTTTCCAAGCAGTTTGCACGCAGCCTCTCCCTGAGATGGAATCAGAGCCCTGGACAGTTACCTGGTATGAGTGCCAAGTCATTTTCTGTTTTTCACCAACATTTTTTGAACTGGTGATATAGGGAGCGGCTCTGTGGCGTGTGCTCTCATTTTTAAACTAAAGCTTACAGTTTCGGCTTAGAGCCCCTGTATCTTCTGTCGTAGCGAGTTTTGTACCAAGTTTCCAAGAGTGGCTGCATATGTAGAATTCTGGAGTTTTGCTGTTTGCAAATGTACATATTGATACGCTGCAGCCAATACCGAAAATTGACCTTCCCCCTCTGAAGTTAGGCTTATTTTTAGCTCAACAAAATATTGATGTGGTTGCACAGCAACGTGAGTGAACCTCACACAACTGAACTGTGCTCCTAGGAATGGCTGAGCTGGTCAGTGTATGCTCTGTGCTTTGCCGCAGTGAAGAACGAAAGTGTCAGTAAGTTAGCAGAACCCTGCCGAGTGCCCTGCACAGTGATTTCGTGTGTGTGTGTGTGTGTGTGTGTGTGTGTGTAATGTCATTGCTTCAAAACTTACTGTCTTTCATTCTTATTTTGCTCTCGCATACTTGTTACCTCCTCTTCTCATCTCCTGCTCATTCCTTTTTACTTAAGAGGATCGCTATGCCAGCCAGAATTAATTGCCTACACAGTAAGTTATTTTTGTCTTTTACATATGTTTAAATTAAGTGTGGCCTTGCTATGAGGAAAGCCTATGCTATGTAACACAGCCAGAATCGACCCCCGCCCCTCCCTTCTCCCCCGACCCTTTCCAGTTTTACTCCCCACGGCTCTGGCCTTCCCATAGTCCTCCAGAAAAGTGCCCGTCAGATTGGTGGAGCACCCTGGTTGCGGCCGGTCTGGGGAAGGCCTGCCTCTGTTAGCCGATGGGACAAAACAGCCTCACTGTGACATACATACAGACTGGACTCTAATTGTCCCCCAGGCCCAAAGAGTATCCTGTGATCACTGGGCCGTCCGTGGTTCAGCCTGAAATCCAGGCTACTCTTTGGGTGGCAGACGACCGTGTGCAGGGTTGCTTCCAGTCCCTGTTGCCTACGCATCAGGTTTTAAGGCAGATTCTTTGACAAGCCATTTATGCCGGTTAGGTTCTGTGAAAACAAAGAGATACATTTATTCAAGCTGAATTTAGAATAATTTTCAAAGTCCTTCATATATTGTTTATTCAGCCATTTTTTTGATTTTTTTTTTAACTTCACTAAAACCAGGGAAAGTTTTTTTTTCTTTCTTCCTTGCCCCCCGCCCCATTAAGATTTTGGTTATTTGCGTCAGATGCCACATAGCCTGTCTCCCAGCTTCCCCTTAAGGATCTTGAAGGTGGTGGGCGAGCCTTGTTTCTGGCCCGCTGTGTGGAGGAGGGAGCCTAGGATGACGGAGTCAGGCTTACAAAGCCCAGACAGCCCCACCTCCCCTCCTTGTGACCTTTCTTGTCCGCCGAGGTGACAGAGTCTGTGGGCCCAAAGTCGGGTGTGACACGCCAGACCATGAGTTATCATCTGGGTTCTCAGTCGGGGTCCCCTGAGAACCAGAACCATAGGCTCCGTATTTCAGGAGTTGGCTCTTGTGACGCTGGCAGCTGACGTGCAGGCAGGAGCTGGCGATCCAGCCGTGCGGCAGCATTTCTGCTGCAGGAAACCTTGGTGTTCGCTCTTGCGGCGTTCAGCGGGTTGGATGAAGCCCGTCCACAGGACCCAGCGTCGCCTCCTTTAGTTCGGGCCACCTGGGTGTGGACGTTGAGCACGCCCACCGGGTGCCTTCTCAGCAAGACCAGGGTCAGGCTTGATTGACTCACCGGTGTTCGGGCCGAGTCGACACGGAAGGCGGACCACACAGGGTCATGGTCAAGGCAGGTGCGTTGAGTAGGACTCCCCAGTGTCCAGGGAGCGCGCTCGCCTGCCTGTGCTCCGGCCCCACCCCAACCGTGGAGGGCCGCGTCCTTCCGGCACTGTCCGCCCTCAAGGTCATTGTCATGTTGTGACCAAGTTCACACAGACTCACTCTTTTTCCTCAGAAACGATGATGGATTCACCTCCGTCTATGCTCGTTATTCTTCCCGTTCAATGAGTTAAACTGTGAGCCCTGGAGGAAGGTTGGCCTCCCTCGCAAGTCCTCTCTTACCCACGCCACCAGCCTGCCTCTTGAGAGAGTCCCCTTCTCCCGGGAAGCCCGTCCGAGTGCAGGCAGGGTGCAGGGCCCCGCTCCGTGACAGCCTCTGACGGTTGCCATCGCCGGCCCTCCGGCCGCCTCCCGGTGACCGCCCACAGACATGCCCTTTACAGATGCCTGTCGGCCACTTCTCAGCTCAGACGCCACCCCAGCAGCACAGGAGAAGAGGAGCAGGCATGAGAGCCCAGGCGTCGTGCGCTGGGCCCACAGTAGCCGGAGGGAGCTCGCCCCCCTGGACGGCCTCGGCTTCCTCGTTCCCTGGCCAGGCCCGAGGTCTCCCTCAGAGGCTACTGGGACACGTGTCCGGGGCTCCAGCCTGTAGAATTGCAAACTGCCCCTCATCTAACACCTCTGTCCAAGAAGCGGATGTTGTCCCCACGGAAGCCACGACAAGTCATGTCATGTCAGGGGAAGCGCGGCATGGCGGCTCACTGGCTCTTCTTGAGGCCATGAGGGAGAATCTGTCCCAGGTCTCCCCCAGCTTCTGGAGGTTGGAGCCATCTCTGATGTTCCTTGGCGGATCACTCCGCTGGCTGTCTTTACCTTCACATGACATCTCCCTGTGTCTGGATCGAAATCTCTGCTTTTTGTAAGGACACCGGTCATATTGGATGAGGGCCCCCCTCAATGACCTTACTGTAACTTAATCACCTCTATTCCAACCCTGACTCTAAATAGGGGGATGAGGACCCCAACACATGAATTTTGCAGAGATGCAGTCCAACCTGTCACGCTACCCCTGCTCACCCCTTGGGCCCTGGCTCCGGATGCCAGAGCGATTTCAGTGCAGAGATATGCGTGACACGGGCTTCGGAGATGGGGCCTCTGGGAGAGACCTCCCGACAACCGAGACCCCTGGCCTCCAGCTGACCTGGGGGTGGGCCGGTCTCTTCCACACCCCACACTTCCATTCCCTGGGGAGACGGGGCAGGGAGTGTGGGGTAACAGAGTCTGGGTTCACTGAGTGGACCCCTCAGCCCCTCCTGCCTCTCCACCATGCCAGTGTGAGAGCCCCACATTGCATGTCCTTCCAGAATGCCAAGCCTAACCAAAAGCAGGTGCCGACAGATCAGGAATGGCTCCTAGGCTCCCGACCTGAGGTTGCCTGGTCAGGCTGGGAGCCCCCTCACTGCACCAGGACATTTGACGCACCGGGTGATTAACCAGTGGGCAGCACTGCCTGCACTCTGCCGGCCAGGCTGCAAGGTCAAGTGCAGCTGGTGGTGGTGGTCTGGCCCCTAGCACACCCCAGCCGGTGGTCTTCTGTGACATGGCTTGCCATAGGGGTTTGAATGGCTGCAGGAACGGACACAGACAGCCCGCAGATGCCACACGTCGGGCCTGAGGACAAGAACACAGCCACTGGCACACCTATGTGCGCCCTCCCAGCCATCCTTATACTCTGCACAGGGCTCTCAGCTTCAGATAATGGTCAAACGTGTCCCAGTCATTTTTTCAGAATCGACTACTTGATGGGATCCAAAGAGGGGGAAAAAAAAATTAAGGGCTTTCAGCAGCTCCCAGCAAATTAAGTCAGTCTACTTCTTGGTGCTCTCGAGCCGCTCTGTCCTGCTGCTGACTCAGCCTGGGCAGAGCATTCAGGACGCAGGGTTCACCCTCAACGCCAGGTCCAGTGAGTGGCCTCTTAAGGCCACGGCCGTGCTGCTTCCCAGTGGGCGAGTGTTGCTTATCTAAAGTCTGCAGACAGAGCTGGGGCAGAAGAGGAAGCTTGATGCCCCTCCCCTCCCGCCCCTCTCTGAATAGGCACGGTGGGTATTTTGTAGGTCGGGGCAGTTGAAGAATTTGTCAGCTCTATCAGGAAAAGAAGGAACTGCCACGTTTATTTTAAAGCTCTCTCTGCGATCTAAAGATCTCTGTTCTTTCGAAGTCCCTAATACCTACATGCAAGCGGTAGTGAACTTCACAGGCGAGCTGGGAAGGCTCCTGGACCTTGCTGATCTGGCCGGGGCTGGGTTCTCAGCGTGTTAAGCTAATCTGTGGAAAGTGTAAGATTGATGAGTCCTGTTGCTGTGTTAGCTTGCATTTGATCGTTAAGGAATCCTTTCAATTGAAATTACTGTTGCCGCTGGTAATTTGTTTCTTCATTCCATATTCCGCTACCTGACATTACATACAGACTGGTCAAGCCATATGAAATTGAGGTTTGGTGGGTCCAAAGCGGTCGAGTAACAGAGAGCTCAAAGGACTTAGCCAGACATGGAGTTATAAAAAAAATCTTACTTCCCCAAAGAATATCGTGTTTTGCCATGTATAATGTGCACCCAAGTTTTTGTGTGCAGTAAGCACAGGGTTATTATACCCATGGTACGTAATTATTATACCTATGTATAATGCATATCCTTGTTTTTTCCTAAAAAATTTGGGCAAAGAAGTGTACATTACACACAGCAAAATACGGTAAATATTTCACTTGTCCAAAAAAGTGAATACCATTGTTCTCAGGGCCCTTCATTTGGCTTTAATAGCATGAGCATCCTTTTGGGGGTACATAGGGCTGCTCTGCCATCCACAGCCATCCTAATAGAGGGGAGTCCGGGGGTGGAGTGCTGAGGGGGCCCAAGGGGCCAAGCTGGGACAGCTTGCCGCCGTCCGCTCTGACTAGGGTCCGTGACTTAAGTGCCTGCCCTGGAATGGATACCAAGTGATAGTCCTGCCCACCACTTCTACTTTCATAATCTCCTTTTTGTTTCATCTTGAAAACTGGAGTGCTTTGCACCAGCCAGGCTCCAGTGTTCTTTTCTCATGCAAATAGCAATGGCACCCTGGAGGGATAAGCTGCTGCTTATTAGAGTCGTTCAAGTGTCCTCTCTTCTTTTTCAACTTGGCCTGTCCGCTCTGTTTCTCGCTGACCAGCCCCTGTGCTTTGCTCTTCCAGGAGGCATTTTAAGGAAAAGTGCGAAGCTGTTCTTCCGCCGGCGGCATCCACAGAAGGACCCCAGCCTGAGCCAGTCCCACAATGACCTGATGTTCCTACAGCAGCCGGAGGGGACCCGGCGGAAGGGGGCCACACTCACCAGGATCCTCAACAAGAAGCTGCTGTCCAAGCACCGAAGCAAGATCACCATGAACGGTGCTGCCGGGGACCCTGCTGTGTAGGCTGAGGGGGGCAGCCCCCTCCACAGCGACACTGGAGACGTGGACCCGCTGGTGACCCGCCAGGGCAGAGCGGGAGAGCCAGCGAGCTGTCAGACGCCCATCTGGTCTAGCCGCGGTTTTCCTGACCGTGTCATCTTTTAAAGGGGAAGAAAATCGGAGTCTCCAGCTGGGAGTTTCCCCCAGAGGGAACGGACTAAACCTGCTTAACACCAGACGGCAAAGCAGACCTGAGGTGGCCTCCACCAAATCTAAGCTCTCAGATTGGAGCATGTGGGCTGTGCTCAAATAGAAGAGTTGACATTCAATGTTAGAAGGAGATTTACCTTACGAACTGAAGAACATACTACAGTGGGCGTGCATGGGGCAGGTTTGGGGCCTCAGTTTCACCCACTCTGTGCTCTCACGGGTATTATTTTGGGTCCACGTCTGGACCACGTCATCAGGAGGAGACCACCCCCTGTGCTGTCACTGTGAACGAAATGCATAGGTCACCTCTTCTGTGCGGCTGCTCCGGATAAAACGGCGCAGGCGGCCCTGAGTACAGGGAGGTGGGACACAGGCCGACTGTGGTAAACAGAAATTACGATGGGAATGGAAACACTATGACAAACGTAGGAAGACATTTGCCTTTGCGATTAGCCATAGAACTTGAAAAAGTATGCAAATTCTAAATATATCCTATGCATATTATGCTGAACACTTTTCTAAGTTTACTTTGAGCCTATTTGCAAGTGGGAACTACGTATATAAATTCTTACACGGTTTTTACATTTTCTCTGTAGCGCCCAAAGCTCTAGCAGTACCAGTGGGGCAGCCAACCCAAGGACTTTTCCCCATCGGGCTCACGCAAGACAGGAATGCAGCGCCTCTCCAGCGCACTTGGGGGCAATAGCGACAGCTCAGAGAGCCTGGTGCCCACACGTACCTGCCTGGATTCTCTTTAGTCCCAGGTTGGTTTGCCAAATATTGCCAGTCGCTGAAACCAAGTACTTTGAGGGCAAAAAAGGAAACTATTTTATGTCTCAGGAATGGAAGGTGAATAAAAAAACGGCCCACGCTGGCATCCAATTCCTTTCAGGAGCTCGTCTGAAATCTGCTTAGAACAGGGCTTGCCACGCTTCGGTGGGGCCGTGTTTTGATTTCCAGTGGGAAAAATGAGAAGCTTGAAGCGCGACTTTGGTATCCCCTACGCGTCTTTCAAAGCGCTTTCCGCGTCAGGCGCCACTGTGTCGTCACGACTGTCCCGTCGGCCCCGCGTGGACCTGCCGCTCTGGGGAGACGCGCTGGCTCAGCAGCGTTCGTCCTTAGGGTGAGCAGCTTTGGCGGTTTATGGAGATTCATTTTCCTCCAACAAGGGTGAAGAGGCTGTTAGGAAAACCTGACTTTAGTCACGGCTGTGACGTTGGGGACGCTCCTTCGGGCGCTTTTGTTTTAATCCTTAAACATGTATTTCAGGGGTAGGGAAGCCATTGAGGAGCAAAAACTTTTATAAGAAACAAAATTCTAGGCTTTTTCCCTTTTTTTACTGGGAGAAATTAGAAGACTATGTTAAGAATTTCACCTTAAAATGCACATTTAAAAATTCTTAGGTGTCCCAGGAATTACCAAGTGACTATAAAATGATTTTTTTGCCATACTTTCTTTTTATAGATTATATCCCAATTTTAATTGTTGTAAAATAGTACCTGGTGTTACAAAAAAATTAATACCAAGTGAGTCCCCACAGGTGAGTAATCACTATAGGCCTTTTTGGGACGATGGTCACTTTAATGTTTCGTTTTACTTGAAGGATTCCTGTTCCTCCTCGTGGTGGGCAGACCTGTAACATGCAAGAATTAATAGGGGACATTATGTGCCAGAAAGTAAGACACTGGTCAGACGATTTTCGTACACTTTTATGTTTGTTTAATCTTGAAACTCAAATGGACTCAATTTATTCCAGTGTGATTTTATCAGAGTTAAATTGACTTATTCTCACTCCCCCTTGCCTCCCCCCCCCCCCCAAAAAAAAACATACAAAACAAAAACTGTTTAGTCATTGCCACTCCAGGATTGACCCCAGGAACATCCTCTTTGCTGTTTGATGCCTTCGTCAAGGGCTCTGCTTTCTCAACTTCCCTGCGACTCGAAACCGCTCTAGGATCCTGGGAGGGTGCTCGGCGGGCTTCGCCCCTCCCTGGTGTGTGACGCAAGCAGGTTACCGCGGACGTGGAGAGCGTTGTCTTGGAGATCCACGTTTCTTTGTGTCTGTGGGGTACGCGTGAGACCCCTGTCCAGTTGAGCACGACCCAGGAGCCCGCCCTTCAGTGACACAGACTTTGTCTCCATAATGGCCTTTGCGGAAGTCAGGGAGGACCCGAAACAGGACGGGGGACGGCGGGAGGGAAGGATACCAGGGTAGCGCGGGAGACAATGGGCTGTATCGATACTGTGAATGTTTCTTTTCCAAGCTGTGTATCCAGGTGTGTTTTTTTAATGGTGTAGGATATTTATGTTAAGGTCAATGTCTTTAAGGTGAACTATCAAATACAATTATACACCAGATACAAAACACGCTGATTTGTAAACGACCGATTCCCTGTCCTTTTCTACATGCGTTAGTAGCTGGAGGGCTTTTGTAGTCTTGATGACATTTTTTCAGAATGGTATTTTAAAAGCGATTCCTCATGCACACTAATCTCACGTGTGTCTGCCCGCCGGGAACCAGCAGCGGGCGAGGGCTTCCCTGAGCTGGCGACGCATCTGTGCTCTCTGCTTCGGAAGGCCGTGCCTATGGTCTCTGTGGAGGAAGGAAAGGGAGCTTTAAGGGTGGGCGTGCTTTCAGGTAGCATTAACAAAAGTATCCGTCTTGTTGCTCTGTTCAAAACCAGCTCCTTAGAATACTTTATTTAAGTCAAGTCTCAAGTTGAAGTTCAAAACCGACCCTTGATTCCTGGTGATGGCTACCTGGCCAGTCGCTGCCAGCCAATCACAAATTAGAAGATCATCTAGATTTTCAACTGGTTCTTCTAGCCACAGCTGTAGAAGAAAGTGGCAAATTATCTTCATGAGCAGAGGGAAAGTTTCTTTGGCACTGCTATCACCAAATGCGGGTGTTTTCTGAGCAGATAATCTCGCGGCCCGTGGAAATACGGAATGCGTGCTTGGTGGACGTTGGTGGTGAGCCCACGTATCTCTCCCAGGTAGGAAGCAGGCCTGGGCTTTGGCACAGACCCCGTTCCCAGCCCACTGCCGCCAACTGCCAAGGCGCAACTACCAAAGCAAGCGGCACAGGAACCATGCACCCCTAAGTCCTGCACAGCAAACTCAGGTTACCTCTGGTTCCTTTTCTTCAGCGCTCCTACTTCACGCGTGAAGAGGCAGTCGCCTGCCCAGTTCACCCAGCCTCCCACTGATCAACAGTGTACCATTTATAATTTAGGTGTGTACTTTTTTTTTGCCCAATGTCACACTAAAGCTACAGTTTTTTTAAAAAAAAGAAGAAGAAAATAAAAGGTTTTCTAGGCATGTGGAAAGGTTTGGCTTGTGATTATCTAGTGTGTTGATGAATTTACATGACAACGATTGTATCCCTTTTTGGCACTTTAAAAACCAATTCCAGTCCGGCACCAGCCCCGTGCGGTGGTTGCATTTGGAGATGATGTGGCCGGAACATGAACAGTCTTTAAAGAAATAAACGTACACGTGGAACACTACTACCAACTGCGTTGTTTTGTCCTGTGCTGGCCCGGAGGTCCCTGTTTCTCTGGGGGTCTCAGGACCATGGTCTGTCTTTTGTCAGGTGCGTCAGCAGTCACTGCACGTGACCAGCGTGGTTGGCTGGCGTAAGAAGAGACTTCCTCCCTGTTCGGTTCCTGGCCAAGGGCCTTCCTCCTAACATCCTTCTTGCTTGAGTTTTACCACACTTAGCACCCTGTTTAAGGCCTGGGGCTAAACCACCTACTAGGAAGCCAATGTTAGCAGTGAACTCCCAGGTCATGGTGAACTGGGGGTGCTACCAGTCAGGGTCTACTTACTTGGACTGGTCCCTTAGCGGCATGACCTGACACAAGCTGCCTGTGGGACCCTTCGTGATCCCTAGAGACCTGAGGGGCGCTATCCCTTTGGGGTGGAAGTTTTTAATCCATCCATTGACCTCCATTATCAACACTGCGCCCAGCAGCAGCCCAGGGGTGAGCGCAGAGCATGTGGGGTCAGAGGAGCAGACGCTGGGTGGGGTCGTGGGGCGGTGGTATCGCACGGGCCTCGCAGCGGTTACTGGGTGGGGCACAGCAGCCGGGTCTGGAGCGATACACAGACAGCCACGTCCCACACGACCCCTGCTGGCACCTCTCCATCCAGGTCATCAGTTTCTCTGTGTCCTTCAGTTTCATTCCCCCTGCTGTGCCCAAGTCGGGGAATTACCAGGCTCCCCCCGACCCCTCAGCCCAGGCCCCGCCCTTCCCCTCAGCTGCCCTGAGCCCACCTGCCCTTTCAGGTGTGGAGCGCTCATTCAAGAGCCCAGACGGAGCCCCAGCTTTGCATTTCAGGGTGAGAGTGCACCACCTATGGAAAGCCCCGGCCGTTAGGGGGCTCAGATTCTGGACTCTCAAGGCGGGAAAATGGTGATGGCACTGTGTCTTGTTTGGGATTGAGGCCTCCTGGGCTTGGGATCGAACTGCTTCCTGTGTGACCGGAAGTCCACTGGGTGCTGACGCCCCAGGAGGAGCCTGGACGGACTTGTCCTAATGCACCAGCTTCCCTGACCTGATCTACCCGTCCCCTCCAGGTGGGCACTGAGTTCTGCCAATCCCGTCCCAAGTGAGCCTGCTTCACCCCTGGTCCCCAGCATACACCTCTTACTTTTCTGATGTTCTAAATAAACTCAAGCCCTGCCTTCTCCGTGAAGGAGCTTCGACCACCAAGGGTGACACTTCTCTCAGCATCCTTCAGGCCCTGTCACTTGGCCCCGGATCACTCTCCTATGCTTGTTCCCCAGCGAGAATGTTAAGTGCCCGAATTCCCCGGGCTTAGCACGGGGCCCACCTGACAGATGTCAGCTGGTGGCATTATACAGGCACACGCGGCTTATGCCCATCCTACCCTGCTCATGGGGCCCAGGGTCAGGGGACAGAGCCCGACATGGAGGGGCTGCACATGACAAAAAAAATCCTGTTTTTGACCTCAGTCACCTTTACGAACACAGGGCACTGGGTGTATATGTCAAGGAGTCATTTACTTACTAGAAAAGGCAGATCACTCGCCACAGAGGGCTGCATACCGGGTGGACGAGCGGTGCAGCGTCCTCCCTGAGGAGAAAGTGCCAGGCCAAACGCTCTTCCCATGGTGACCTAGAAGCGTCAATGTTTCCCACGCCCCCGCCCCCGCACCTTGGCTCTGTACCCTGACTGTCCAAAATGCAAAGTGCCAAGTTGTGCCCTGCAGGTGCCAGGCATTCAAAACTATTGACTCTGTTGATGTCCTCAATATCGATAAGGTCAAGTTAGATGCTTACTTAGGTACCTTGCATATATGATATCTACTTGATATTTTGTACAAAAAAATAGAGAAAGACTTGAGATCACAGTGATACTACCTAATACCAACTGAACACTTACTATGTGCCAGGAATTTTTTTTCAAGTGTTTTACACATAGTGACTCCCGTGCTCTTTGAGGTAACCCTGTGAGTTATGATCTGGCCCAGCTTTACAGATTGGGAAACTGAGCACAGACAGGCCAAGTAACTTGCCCAAGATCACACAGCAGGTAAGTGGCAGAAGGAGAATTGAGCCCAAGCTGTCTGGCTGGAAAATCTATGCTCAAAGTCATGAGCCTCTGCTACCTTGTGCTGAATGGAGAGAACAAGATTCACGGCCTCGTGTGGTCCTTTCTGAACTGTGAATGTAATGCTCCCTGTTATGGGTGAGAATAACATAAAGTGCGATGCACTGCTTTGCACACAGTAGGATTTAACTTACCTGTGAGTGGCTTCTCTCCTTACCTGGATGGGGATGATTAGCCAGATTGAAAACAAAAGCTACGAGGAATGTGGAGAAGCGGATACATATGCCCACGATGTTCGGTACTAATGGAGTTTTATACTTAGATTAACGAGAACCAGAGCTGATGAGGTGGGTCAGGGCTGGGAGCACCCCCCCACCCTGGTGTCCCACGGTGGTACGCTCACTTCTCAATGTCACGGCTAGTCTCTGCCCGGGGAGAAGGTAGTGTTCTCAGGACAACTCACTGATAATAATGGAAGCTCTTCTGTTTATGTTTTTAACTCCCCCAGATTATTTTTTTTAATTCCAAACCTACAGAATGACCTATATACCCTTGACCTAAATTCACCGATTCTGTGACATTTTGAGGCATCACTTCACCCTCACTCCTTCAATATCCATTTTCTAAGAACAGAGCATCCCCATGTCATATTCGACACAATTTCCATCCTTGGAAAAATTCTCATTGATTCAATACTATTATTGAGTTCCAACCCATATTCAAACTTCTCCAGTAACGTCCCTTATATATGGCTTTTTTCTTCCCCTGCCTGGGGTTCAAAGATTGTACATTCATTGCATTAGCTGTAATCAATGAAAATTTGAAACTTTAAGCAACACAATTTTTTTACCTGAAACATTTTGGATATCTGAGTTTTTTCACTTTTATTTTTTAAAAGAGTTTATTTATTTTTAGAGAGGGGAAGGGAGGGAGAAAGAAGGGGAGAGAAACATCAATGTGTGGTTGCCTCCTACACAGCCTGCACAGGGGACCCAACCCACAACCCAGGCACGTGCCCTGACTGGGAACTGAACCAGTGACCCTTTGGTTCACAGGCTGGTGCTCAATCCGGAGTCACACCAGCCAGGGCTCAATCTGTCTTTTTAAAAGACTGTATCTCCAGCCTTCATAGAAGGAATATACTGAACATGTTGGGAACTCTTTTGAAGAGGCAATGATGCTGTGAGCCCCAGTCCAGTGCTGAAGGTATTGCTCTGAGAAATGGCTTTATGTGAGTTGAGCTCATCTACTTTGTTCTTCACTCCTGCTGTGACCTGTCACTTTTTCTGTAAATGACCTGTTTTTGTTTATGCGGTACCTATTTATTATGGAGAGGCCCAGAGAACATTTGGAGACTGCGAGTCATGTCACTAGAAAGGGGTGTATGGTGGGGCGAGGTGCACATAGCAGTAGTGGTCAGTCTGTGCCTTTAGAGGTTGGGGAGCATTCGGGCACAGACCTAGAAAACCCGGAGGTGTTCCAGGATGGAAGGAGTGGGTACAAAGGGCTCTGAGACTGTTTGCGGAGCAGAAGGCAGGCTTGACTAGTGTGAGCCAGGCAGAGGTGAGAAGACCAAAGCAGCCCTGGGAGGCTGTGGTCCAGACCTACTGTAAATGCCACTGGGAAGTCACCGCATGCTGTCAGGGAGGGCGGAGAAAGGAGTCCCTAGCAGCAGGACACCCCACACCTGCCCACACCTCCCTCTCCAGCTGTCAGCCTTCCACCTATGGATGTGCCCATCCGATGGGGACTCAGGACAAATCTTACACATGTACCAACTCATACAAATGAATTGGTGGTGGGATAAAACCCCTCTATACCAATTTATTCTCCCATCAGAAAAGGATGAGAGAGCTGGTTTCCCATGGTCTCTTCAAAATAATGCCATTATACTTTTAAAAATCATTGCTAATAGATAAAAATGATTTCACTGCAATTTACTTTTTCTCTTATTACAGTATTTGAATAGCTTCTCTTAACCTTAAGAGCCATTGCATTTTATTGTGAACTGTCCATAGGCTGTTTTATTTTTTTCTATTGGGTTATTTATCCTTTTTTTTTTTTTTAAATTGATTCATAAGAGCTTTACACGTACGAGGGAAAGGAGTCCTTGCCCATTTCAATTTCAAATAATTTTCCCCCAATTCATCACCTCTCTTTGACATTATTAATGGGAGTTTTGTGCAGGCAGAAATAACAAGACAGTTTACTTCTCTTACTCTGAAAGGCCAGGACTAGATTCAAAGACCCTCTAGTCGCTTCCATTTTTATTTTGTTTCGACACTCGGTTGGATGGATGGGATCAAGAGGCCACACAAGCTCTCAGGCTTGGAAAGGGAACAGGGGTCAGAAACACTGCGTGCCAGGGAACGGTCTGGCCTCAGCTTGTCTCCGCCCTGGGACGGAGGTGCGCTTCTGGGGCTGCCCACTTAGCAGCCCACGCCACCAGGGTTCAAGGGTCCGGCTCTGCCACTCGCCACTGCTGGGCAAATAATCCTTCAAGAGCTTGCTGAGGGCTGAGCAAGCGCTGTTTGCTGATGGACTAGAAAGATGGGCCAAGCGGCTCAGTAGCCCATAGGCTAAATTCCGGACGTATGACTGGGCAGCAAACTTCAGGCTCGATTTAATGAAAAATTTGACCCCTTCTCCCACTTAAACCCGCTAAAAAGTCAAGGCTCGACGTAGCCACCACAAAGGCAAAGGCGTTTGTGCGAGCCGTCCGTGCACGTTTCAGTCGGGGTCGCAGGGCCGGGCCCCGCCACGCGGAAAGAGGTAGTGCGTGGCTGCCCGACGCCTCCTCCTGCTCCGGGGAAAGGGCAGTTGGAACGTGGCTCTCTTCTCCCTGCCGCTCCGGATCCATGCAGCCCGCTCACCCCGCGCCCCCCTGCGCCCCAGTACATGCCGCCCGCTCCCATTCC